CACTTTTAGTTGGGCTGTTTACAGGCCCAAAAGAAGTATGAAGTTATGACGACAATATAAATAGTTTTCTATGATATAGATTTCTTCAATATAGATTTTTTCGTGAGAATGGGAATTGCACAAAGAATGGGCGCAACTGAATGTGTCATTTGCAGTGATCGTATTTATTTTTTCGGTTTTATAGACAGTTAATAAATTAAATATAATTTTAAAATCTTTCTGTTAAAATAAATATCTAATTTTTTTATAATATCGTGAACATAATATTCAATAATCTTCTACCTCTTCTAATAAATTAAACCTAAAAATGACACGTGTCAGTTTTTTAGAATATCTCTTTGGCACGTGGTATTTTTCTATGATATTTATTATTTACTTTTTTTGGTAACAAATCAAATTTAATTCAAATTTTGAAAATACAAAATCATATCCTAATAACATTATTATGATTATTTTGCTTAACAAATTAATTCATAATTACTTACAATCGACAATATCTTGGTTTTTTCTGACATTTATTATTTTTTTATTTATATAAAAATTTTAAATATACCGACCATGGTTTCTACGGGTTATAACCTAGTTATTTTAATAAATCACAATAAAAGGAGAATAAATGGATGTGACACCTTAACTTACAAAAAGACACTTTAACGACAAAAAGACATCAGAAATTTAAATAGAAGCAATATAAACAATGGAGACAAAAATGTCACTAAAACCATCAAGAACTATATACATCAATGTTTGACTTTGCCCAATACGGCTATAAGCAACAGATAGATAGATGATCTTAAAATATTGTATGGTTTCTTTTGGCATATTTCAACGCACAATAATCCATTTCGGGTCTATTTCATAATAGCATGGAATATTTAAAGGGTTAGTCATAAAATTGTCTTAAATAACTATTATTTGTGTTTTAAATTATTCATCTTTTAATTTTATTCAACAGGATAACAAACTAGTTTTGTATTTTTATTACGCCATCAATAGAATTCAGTTTAGTCTCGTACGTAGCATGTCTGGCATCCAATATAAACACAAAATATACAAAATTTGTCAATACTTACAGCCAGGTAATTGAGGACCATTTTTTTTAACAGCAAGTATGTCATATATTCAAAAAGGTTCTAGCAAGTAACTAGAACCCAAAAAAAAAAATTCAAAGGAGACTTCATCCAAACATTTCAATTAACATGTATTTTGGAAGCTCGGTTATTTACCCAATGAAACGAATTCAAAACAATGTAATAAAAAATAACATCACTACGAATTGGTTTGTTGTGGAACAAAACCGAATTCCTATGTCTCCATAACACCCAAATAGTAGCTAAGATAATCACCTCCAAACAGCGTTTCTCTACCAACGATCGTTGTGAGTCGTCTTAGATATGGAACTTGTTTGAGGAAAACTCACATTGCACCACCGAGCCACTAGCTTCCATATTTCAGCCGCCACTTCACATAAGAAAAAACGATGACTAGTTGTTTCAATCCCACCCTTCACATGCCGGGCATCTTAATGAATTTAAATTCAATCATTTTTTTTTGACAAATTAAACCTTGTAGGAAGTCTATCAAGGATTAATCTCTAAGTATGAATATTTACTTTTTTCGGAACTATTTTATACCAACGAGTACTACAACCCCGACTCGGTAAGATACTATTATCAATATAAAGTCTAGTCGCATCACCCTATCTTTAAACATAACTAAAAATATTCAACTTTGACAAAAAGGAAAACAAGACTATTTAATTTGATTAACTTTAAAACAACACTTGGTTCTTTTTGTCCTTTTTGCTTTTATATAGCAGGCACAAATACTTTGACGACAAAATCGTGATATAACAACAAAATTAGGGTGTTTAGGATTAAATTTGAAAATCATTTTCTTATTTATTAACTTTTAAAAAAGTTATTACGTCTAAAAAAACGTTTGAGGAGCTAATAAATATTTTTAAAAATAGCCCCCACCCCCACCCACACACACAACAAGTAAAAAATTTTATTATGACGTGGATGGAATGTTTGAGAGAGGGGTGTGAAGGTGTTATTTGATATTGCTAATTAAGTAGGGTAATTGTCATAAAAACACAAAAATGTCTTTTGGATTTAACTGGTCCCTCGTTAAGTTGTTGGTCAATTTAGACCATTAAAATGAAAAATAACTTGCTAAAAGGAAAAATGGGAGGCTTATAGCCGTTTTCAAGGTAAGTAACAATTTAGACAGGTATGATTTGGATTAATGAGGACACACAATTTTTTTTTTGAACAGCAGCAAAACTTCATTAAGGAACAGGCTAGCTAGAGGCTAGCAAAAAAACATACAAAAGAAAATTAAGGCATTAGTGGATTGCGCATCCAATCAATCCGACTAACACAAGCCTTAGAGTTCTGAAAGGAAAACCAACGAAAAGACAAATCAACAATAGTATCAAACAAAAGATGCTTTTTAAACTTATTAGGGCTAAAAATGACACCATTCCTATACGACCAAATAACCCATAAAGTCACCATACAAACCGCCTCCAAGATAGGACGTTTCCTACGAATAACCACCGACGAATCAATCCAATCTAGCATCTCTGTAACACCAGGGTCAATTGGAAACGAAATGTCAAGCCAAATCCCAATTCTTCTCCAAAGCTGACAAGCCATCTCACACTGAAAAAAAAAAGATGAGAAGTACTTTCTTCAACAGACTGACAAACTGGGCAAAGAATAGATTCCATCTCTACGCCTCTATCCACTAAAGCCGATCGAACAGGGATTCTATTTAGCCTCAATCTCCACAAAAAAAATATTAACTTTAATTGGAACACTCCGATTCCATCTAGTCCTCACTCCACTAACCGGAAGAGAAAACGAATCAATATGTCTTCTCATGGACTTAACAGAGAACACCCCACTTGGATCAAGGCTCCAGGACCACCTGTCAGGAGTGTAAGACAACTGAATAGGAGTCAAAATCTGCATAAAACTCTGTAACTGCTCAGCTTCAGCTCCACCTCTAATGTCACGTCTCCAAGAGAAATTCCACCCACTAGAATCCCAGAAATTTGAGACCAACCCATCTTTCACCAAAGATAGCGAATACAACCTAGGAAATTGAGTTTTAAACAACACGCCTCCATACCAAACATCTTCCCAAAACCGAGCCAAAGACCCATCACCAACAACAATCGAAATTGAGTCTGAAGTTAAAACATCCTGACTTTCCATCTTCTTAATACAATCCACAATTCTCTTCCAAACTCCCATACCTCCTGAGGAACGCGCATTATGCACCAAGGCCCCAGACTCACCATGTAACCCCTTAATAAGCCTCGCCCATAAAGATGAGGACTCATGAAGGAACCGTCACTTCCATTTAACAAGAAGAGGCCGATTAAACGCATCCAAACTACCGACATCTAAACCACCATTATCCCTAGAATTAAGGATAATGTCCCACTTGACCCAATGAATACGTCTTTGAGCTTCCTCCATACCCCAAAAAAAACGAGCCCTAAGAGACTCCAATAAATGGCAAACTGTAACCGGCATACGAAATAAAGAAAAGTAATATATCCCAAGACTCCCCAAAACAGACTTAATCAGAGTTAAACGACCACCTATGGAAAGCATTTTAACTTTCCAATTAGAAAGTCTCTTGCGAAACCTATCCATAATCACATCCCAGCTATTTACACGACTCATAGAACCGCCCATCGGAATTCCAAGATAAGAAAAAGGAAGCTTAGCTGCAGCACATCCCGTAATAGAAGCAAGAGAAGTAACTTCAGACGGATTAACACCAACACCCAACAAACTAGATTTAAAAAGATTAATCTTTAAGCCCGAAACCAAATAAAAACATCAAAGAACGGTAATAAGATTTCGAATATTGCCCTCCTCCCATTTACCCAAAAACAAAGCATCATCAGCATAAAAGAGATGAGAAATCTCTAAATTGGCCTCTTCAATCTTAACCCCACGAAAATATCCAGAATCAACCGCGTCCTCCATAGCTACATGAAGACCCTCCATAGCAATAAGAAACAAAAAAGGGGAAATTTGATCGCCTTGTCGTAAACCTTTAAACGGCTGGAACTCTTCAGTTGGGCTACCATTAACAAGGATCGATGATCTAGCATTTTTTTAATAAACCATGAATCCAAGACCGCCACCTATCACCAAAAGCCATAAATCCCATAATTTGATCCAAGTAATCCCAACTAACGGAGTCATACGCTTTCTCAAAATCAACTTTAAAAATAAGGAATTTCTTATTTTTCTTTTCCCCCAAGAAATCATCTCACTAACCATAAGAGGCCCATCTAAAATTTGTCGACCTTTAAGAAAAGCCGACTGCTCCACACTGATAACATCAGGAAGCACCACTGCCAACCGTTTTGCTAAAATTTTAGCAATAATTTTAAATTGCATTCCAATAAGGCTAATAGGACGGAAGTCTTTCACTAGTAACGGGTTTTCAACCTTGGGGATAAGAGTAATGAACGAAGAATTACAACCCACAGGAATAATTGGTTTATACCAAAATTCGAGCACAAACCCAATCACATCATCCCCCAAGATATCCCAATAATGTTTAAGAAACTAAAAAGAAAAGCCATCTGGACCTCGGGCTCTATCCCCACCACAATCCCAAACCGCCTCCTTAATTTCTTCAACAGTAAAAAGTCTCTCTAATCCCAAAGCATTCTCCAAAGTAATAGAAGAAAACCGATCACTTCTTACCGCCATCCGAATATCATCAAACGGTTGAAACTTAGAAGAGTAAAAATCATAAAATTCTTTTTATATAGCCATCAGATCCGTAACCCAATCCCCATTAACCGATACCCCACGAATTAACATCTGACGTCTTCTTTTCTTCAACATACCATGAAAAAAACAAGTATTCTCATCACCTTCAATAGACCATTTCACCTTAGCTTTCTTAACCAAATCTGACACCTCCTGACTTTCGATAGAAGCCAAAGACCCAAGAACCTATTTTCGTTCATTACATATTTGAGTAGAGATATCACCACTATCAATCCTCATGTCAATATCATGCAACCGAGACTTTAGATCATTCTTCTGCTGTTCACGGATCTCCTTAGTCTGTGCAATCCACTCCCAAATCCTATTCTTAATAAACTTAAGTTTATTTTTGAACACAACAAATTTACTCCAGCTTTGATTCACCTCAAACTCTGAAACACTTGCTCGGATCATCTCATCAAAGCCATCCAACAACATCCACGAATTAAAAAATCTAAAAGGAGGAGGACCATAAGCAACCTTAACTTCATGCAACAAAATAGGACTATGGTCAGACCACAACCGATCTAACACTGCCACCTGTAAACCCTGAAACCGGTCAGAAACACCCTCAGAAACCAAAAAACGATCTAGCTTACTAAGCTTGACATTAGAAGAGTCAACCCTAGTAAATTTCTTCCCAATCATAGGCACATCCACACCCCCCACATCATCTATAAAATTATTAAAATCCTCAGCAGAAGAAGAGCAAAAAACGGAACCAAATCTCTCCTCAGCACTCCTAACCACATTAAAATCACTAAAAATGACATAATTACCCCCATATCTGGTAATAAAAGAAGAAATATAATTCCAAAGCATTCTTTTCTCTATGTTATCTTGAGGCGCATAAACATTCACCATGCAACATTCGATATTAAATGGGACCCAAATGCCTCGAACAATAACCACATTACTAGTACAAACAATACTAATTTAATTTTTTAAATATATTTGGATCCCAAATCGATAAAATACCCCCGGATCTCCCACGCGCACTACTAAAAGCAAAATCAAAACTACAATTCCCCCACATACTTCTAACTTTGAATAGATCCAACTGGGTCATTCTAGTTTCTTGTAACCCCAAAAACGACACACCATTTTGAACACACAAAGACTTCACCCAGTTCCTCTTATGAGAAGAGCGGGTGCTACATATATTCAACGACATGCAATTCATTAAATAACTTGAATCACACCAATACTAGCCAAAATTTGTTTCACCTTATCTTTGTTACCCTCCATATTGTACCCAAGCAACCTTCCCATTTCAACATACTGATTCATAATATCCGAAATATCTTTAATATTATCCGGGACTCTTTTTTTCAATAATCTCGAAGAACCATGAGAACTAGCAGAATTAGACTTCATTTTAATGGTCCCAGGATTGAGCTCTACATCACGTCTGAAACCTGGTGGTTGCGAAAGAGACTCATTTGAACCATTATCTTCACATAACCCTTGCTTAGCTTCCACCGTAGAGCCTGCCATTGTAGCATTAGGAGTATCCGGTGCTGTTCCAGAACCAACAGCACCTCTCTGATCACCGCTAACATCAATCGGACCACCCACGGGAGCATCTAATGGTACCGAGTTGTAACTCCTCTTGTGCTCATCAGATTTTAACGGCTCTGTTTGAAAAAATCGTCCTTTCCGATCTACAAAGCCTACCCCCTGTTATTACCACACTCTTGTTCAATGTCAAATGAATTATCATTTTCCAGATCAATAAACTTAAGTTTACCCTTAGGTGTCATTTCTCCTTCTTCTTCAGCTACATCTTCATCAAAATCATTAACTTCCTTTTCCGAATCACTTGCTAAAGAAGGAATATCATAATTTAAAGCATCTTCATTACATAGAATATCTGGTTCCCAATTTGACAATTCTTTAACCACCACAGTATAATTAATTCCTTGAGCCTCCAAAGACAATTTTTCCTGAATTAATGAAGATTGAGCTGTTTCGATACAAACTCTTTTAATTGCCAATGGAGCTTGATTATCATCATCCAAAAAGCACACTTCACCCCAAATACCTGCTACCTTATTCACTGCATTATCATTCCATGCACAACATAGTAATCCAAGTATTTCAATCCAAACAACCCTCTCTACAATTGTAAATCCATTAACCACTGGCCTGAAATTAGAGAAAAAAGCGTGAATAGAAGACGACTTCTTAAACTTAGAGCACACCAAATCTGAATCAAACTCCACATAAACCCAATCACCACCCAAATATTTTATCTGTAAGTCATGGAACCCTTCCTCTTTCAACAAAACTAATAATTTCGGAATCAACCTAACACTTCTTACTTGACAAAATACTGATGGTTTTACAGCTAATTCATTAATAATATCCTTACCCTCAAGAATAATCGACTTCTCAGCTTTATTCGGTTTTACAACATCACCCTTAACAACATTAGCATAAGTTACTTTCTGGGTATTATTGCTACCGGCACCAACAGTATGCACATGCACATGTGACTCCCCATGCACACGATTGTTCTCCCTTCCAAACTTTGCCAAAGAAACAAAAACATGAAAACTGCCAATCCAGAGATCCCGAAGTTTCAATTCAAGCTGTTTCTCATCCTGTACTTTAAGAAATCTAACAAATGCAATCCTTTTCCCAGACTTGGACAATTTCCGGGCTATATAAACATCTGAAACCCTCCCATACTTTTCACATATGGACCAAAGTTGCTTATTATCCATGTCAGAAGGAAAATTAGTGAGGAAGAAAGGTGTAGATACCTTATCAATATTCCAGCGACCCTTTTTGTTATTGGCAATTTTCCATTCCCACGTATCCTTGCGACTCATCGGCACTACCCAGAATGAAGATTTGAAATATACTAGCAAGAAGCCCTACCAGGAGACCGAAGCAAAAAATCGACAGCCAAAACCAGTGAAACCCTAATTTATGTGGTCTGAGAATTTCGATAATTCCTGAATTTATACGATCAAATAGGAGCTTCGGATTAATGAGGACACACAATTGCCCCGTGTATTATAGATAATATATAATTTATGTGGTCTGAGAATTTTAATAATTCCTGAATTTATACGATTAAATAGGAGCTTCCTCACAGTCTTTTGCCATAATTCTTGCTTTATGTCTTTCTTCTCAAATGTTTCAAAAATTGAATAGCTAGTCAAACATTCATAGGAATGCCATTGTTCAAAGCGTATCTCCACATTGCCATCTTGAAACCCTAATTCATTTAATATATCTACCGGGTATGAAAAAACGCGACTTTCTTTGGCTTTGAATGATATCGTTGACCTTAGGATTTGACTAGTACATTATCTTTTGTCGTCACTCGATGTAGCCATTTTAGGGTCGAAATAATATTCCATCCATAGATCTAGGAAATATTAGCATGCATGAGAATACACATGTATAAATTTATGGTGCATAAAAGATTTGGTTTGTGTATACTGACCATGGAGATCGTCGCTAGAACTTTCAGTATTCGATGCTTGATGACTTTGTCTTCCTAAAACATGGGTTCGAGAACTGGATTTGGAATATGGTGATAAGCTTCAATCTTGCTCTTGTGATGTTCTTTGGCGTCACCATGAAAAGATTCACCATCCTCAATTCTTGCATTTTTATTAGAACTTACAACGAAGGGAGTTGCTGAATTTGAACTGGATGATTCTTCTTGGTGTCCGTATTCATAATTTTCACCAGTTTCCCAGAACTTGGTTTCATATCAGTCGTAGTCATTTTCACATACTTTTATGATCAAATTGAACGGTTCAAACATTTGAAGATTGGTAATTTAGTAGCATATTCATATTTCAAACCTTCATTGCAGTTAATACCAATCGAACTTCCAAATCTAGATACTGATTTTGTATTGTTCAAAAAAAACATTTCACCAACTTTACAACTTTGACCACTGGATTGACGTTCTTGATAAACTCTGGTCATTTTGAATTTCTCGAATAGTTGTTTCTTGGCTTCCCGGACAAAAGTGGTCAACATTAAGCATGTCACTATGTGGATAGAACTGAGTTGTCCAATTGGACAATATGGATCGTACTATTTGGTTCGAGTATTCTAATTTTTTGGATTGGTTTTCAGCAAAACTGAATTATTATTTTGGATTGGATTGGTTTTGATTTATAAAAATAAAACCTAATAGTCCAAAAAAATTAACGATTTATTATTTATTTATATGAAGTATTTTTAATTGTAATGAAAAACGTATAATATATATTTGTTAAAATCTAATTAGGATAAGCGGTGTATTTAACAATATATGTAAGTTATAAAAATATAATATATCAAGAATATACTTTTTATGGTAAAAAATATGGTTAAAAATGAATTAGGGTTGAAGATAAAACATTATTTACCCCATTTTATTTACTCCATTTTTTGGATGAAAAAATAAAGATGAATTGCAGATGGTCTTAATATGTATTTTTAATATCAAAATAATTTTGTCTATAGAATATTAAACCATAATATATTTTTCTTTGTAATTGTTTATAAATTTTAGTCAAAACCATTTAATAAAATTTATTTGGTTTCTTTTATAGAGTGGACTAACACTCAAGTTATATATATATATATATATATATATATATATATATATATATATATATGTGTGTGTGTGTGTGTGTGTGTGTGTGTGTGTGTGTGTGTGTGTGTGTGTGTGTGTGTGTGCGCGCGCGCTCGTGCAAGGCAGCGGCGATAAATTGTTTTTTGGGCAAATAGTTTCTTACAGGAAAATAATTATTAGATTTTATTATTAGTTATTATGTAATAAAATACTACACTTTTAAATAAAATATTTATGTTTATACATTATACTTATATTGCATGTTTATACTATTGATGTAATTAATTAATATTAGTTTTTAGTTTAAGAAATGTAAACAAATTTATATACATGAATTTAATATTTTAAAATTTTCATTTTGCTCCAAATTGAATTTCTTAATTACTTTCATTAATTCAAGTCTTCAAATTTTCGGCAACTATTAATGAATTATTTATGCATAATTGATTTGTACAAAAAGCTTTGTAACTTATACCTCTTAAAATTCAAAATATAACAAATATGTTTTATAATATAGTATAAGATATATATATATATATATATATATATATACACACACACACACACACACTGTAGCACCCGCTTCCTGATATGTATTTTATTTTAGTAATTTTGCATTTTTGGCCTGCGACTCGGCGAGTTGAAGGCCCAACTCGCCGAGTAGAAGCGGGATGAGACGCGGGATTTAAGTGATGGACTCGTCGAGTCGAGTCCCGGACTCGACGAGTAGACTCTGTCTGGACAAAACCCTAAACTGAGGGTTTGCACCCTATTTAAACAACCTTATACAGCCTCCATCGTCCCTTATGCTACCAGAAACCCTCTATAGAAAACCCTAGCCGTTGTTGAAGCAATCTAAGTCATTTTGGTGGATTTTGGTGTTGGTGGTCTTAAGAAGGAAGGAGAAGAGCTTGAGGAAACAAGAGGATACCAGAGGGGTTCGAGTTTGTGCTTCATTTTCAGTCCTCAGAAGGTATAAAGTTGCTAACTTGCTTGTTCATTTGCTAGATCCCATTTTGTGGAGATTTAGGGCTTTTATAAGCCAGTTTAGGTAGTCAACCATGAATGCAAGCATGGTTGGGGACAAGGCTTCGGATCTAGGTCCTTTGAGGGGTCACAAGGCAGAAAGTGGGTGCTTTTCCACCCAAGGAAGACTCCATGCAACCCAAGAGCTTGTTTTAGGACCTTTTGGACTCAAAGTCCCATGCATGCACGTAAAGTTTTGTAACTTTACGTGCTAGAACGATTGTTGGAGCCTATATCTATCATTTGGTCATGAGTTGTACATCAGAAATCGAGGATTTAGGGTGTGGACGTGACCAACTCGGCGAGTCCATTCTTGGGACTCGACGAGTCCAAGGCTTTGAGTCCCATATCTGTTGAGGGTCAAAAGAACTCAGTTGGGTGTTAGTAGGGTTGTAGCAGGACAGAAAGAGTGACCCAATGCATTGGACTTCATTTTAGACCTGGAGTTCATGGGACTCGATGAGTGCTAGAACAGACTCGGCGAGTCCAAGGCAATCTCCCAACCCTTAAAGATGAACTCGACGAGTTGTTCATACAACTCGGCGAGTCGAGGACAGGACGTGTTCTTAGGATGAAGACGGGCTCGACAAGTGTTCATACCGCTCGGCGAGTCGGATGAAGGTTCATCTGAGGTTGTGTTAGAAGGAGAACTCGTCGAGTCATCGCTAAACTCGACGAGTAGGAACGTGGAGGAGGACAGTTGAAGAGGTAGGGACTCAACGAGTTGACGACCCAAATCGGCGAGTCGGGTCAATCGGAAGTTGACTTTGACTTTGACTTGGACTTGGTCTGGGGTAAAATAATCATTTTACCCTAATGGGTAGATACCAGATTCTGATTAAGTGTTTTGTGGGGAATATAGCCGGAGGATTTCCGGAGCAGCAGCAGTCAGAGATTCCCCCGCACAGATTATCAGCAACTACTCGTTTGAGGTGAGTTTCCTTCCAGTAGGAACGGGTCTAAGGCACCAAGGTCGGCCCGTATAGATGATACGTTAGTATTGGAGTGTGGGCAGAGCCCGTATCTCATAGTTGAGCTTGATTATGATATATGCTTGTACGATAGAATTGTTTATACTCGTTGTCTGTGTGATACTTGTATGTTATGGTTTAGTAGCTGAGTGTGGGTGAGGCCCGTATCTCAGAGATAGTGGAGTGTGGGCGAGGCCCGTATCTCCCAGATAGTGGAGTGTGGGCGAGGCCCGTATCTCCCAGCTAGCGGCGTGTGGGCGAGGCCCGTATCTCCTAGATGTTCATTATATGTGTATGGTATGTGGTATTATGGGGGAGCTCACTAAGCTTTTGTGCTTACGGTTTTCAGTTTTGTTTCAGGTACCTCTTCTTCGAAGGGGAAGGAGCCGGCGCGGTAGCTGCATATCATACACACACCCCAGATTCCGCACTATGAGTTTCCTTGGGATTATGCTCTGACATTATCACTATTTACGATTTGGATTTTCAGACATTATTTTATGAGATGTTATGATTTTACAATGTTTTTCCTCCGAATGTTTTAATTAAAGTAATTTATAAAAATGAAATTTTTGGGCGTGAAAATTGGGCTGTTACAAGTTGGTATCAGAGCCCTGGTTTGAGGGATTCGGACGCACCTTCGGGAGTGTCTGGACTCAAATCGAGGGACTAAAAGATTTTTACAAAAGAAAATGATTTTTCTAAAAGTTAAGATAAAGAGTTATGAAAAAGAACAAAGTGTGTGATGTGCGCGACCGACCGAGCTCAAGTAAGTATTCCCCAAAGTACCCATACAAGTTTATGTTATGATTATCAGTTTCAGTTTCAGTAGAACAACATGCTAGATTAGGACTAAGGATCTAGGAAGGATGCCTTATGTGCCTATTGTATGAGTATCATCTTTATGAGAACTGCATGCTAGTTAGGGCTTAAGATCTAGGAAGGATGCTTTATGTGCCTGTTATATACATACCAGCTTATTAAGAACTGCATGCTAGTACATATTAGTCAGTATGATAGCCAGAGTAGTATATACTTGATTATGTGTACTCAACACCCGAATGCTGCTTGCTTCGTGCTTTTAGGAGTTCTAGTTGTCTTTCACTAACTAGTAAACGAATATGTTAAGTTACATATTGCAAGGACCAAATAATTTCAGAAGGTTGGGTCTAGCTCTGTTTCGCAGCTCTTGTTTGAGTCCAACCGTTGTAGGGTAGGATCTCTCATTCGAAGAATTATCTAGTCTGAG